CCCCAAAACCCCAAAACCCCAAAACCCCAAAACCCCAAAACCCCAAATGTAAGAGTCTCGGGTATAGAAGTAAAAAGGATAAAATAATTTATTAGCTTGAATGATTGATTTATTTTATATCAATTGAAATTAACATTAAATAGATCTATTATTTAAGATAATTAAATCTAAAAAGAAAATGAGCAACTCTTCAGAAATTACAAAATAATAAAGCAGATATTTCTAATGTAACTTTTGTTAAGATTAAACTATTCCTCTCTAGCTCATAATGAATCTGATAAAAGCTTTAATTAACCATTTTTAAATCACAAAGACTTAAGATGCAAATCTGATGAGTTTTTTAAATCTATTGTTTAAACGATAGATCTAACAGGTAAAAGTCAGATCTTAAACTAATTATAGTTCTCTATAAAGTTGTCTCAACATGCTATTACAATGATGAAATGAAATATTATCCCATATTATTTGAAATAGGTCAAGAAAAAATTAGATAATCATATGATGGATGCAAATATTTGCTTTAGATATGGAATTAATCACAATAAAAGATATTTGAACTTCATTTGAACTGTAACTCTATTTAAACTTACATTTTAGAATAACTTAAGAATATGGCTATATGTTTTTAGTACTTCATTTATCAAAATGAAAATCAAGAATTAGTCATTGTGGATTTAGAGTCTCAAAATAATGAAAGTCTTTGCATTTAGAATTTTTTGAAAGATGATACTAGTAATATTTTTACTAATAACTATTCAATTTATAGTCCATATATCCTTTTGTAACGAAAGCCTATTCGCAGCTTCTAAAAGTTTAATACAAATAGTACACATCCCATAAAAATCTTTTTAATTTGAAAATCGCACCATCTAAATAAAAAAAGATTCTGTCCTGACAATTAACCCTGAGCTTAAAATTCATGGACTTCTCCTAGATAAATAGAGCTCAGAAAAAGGGGAGACAATTGTGGTATTTGAGACTCTAGATAATCAACTAGACTTTAATAGAATTTAATTACTGAATCTAAATGAACAAGATGACTCCTTCCCAGAGAAAAGTTATAAATTTTTATAGTGCGGAGAAATAAAACCCAGATCAAACTTTACTTTTGATCCAATAAAAAAGGTTTGCATGATTTTCTCTAAAGACATATTGTATGCCGTCTCCCTTAGAAATTCAGGTTAAATTGATTTATATTGGAATATGATTAGAAAATCTTCTGAAAATAATAGTAAGCATATTATCACTTGATTAAATTAGAACCTTTTATTGATGTGTCAATGAGTTTAAATGAGTTCTACTTTCAATCAGATCATAATTCCTATCTTAAACTTGCACATAAAAATAAATCAGATATCACTTTACAAGAAGCTATTTCAAACTCTGATGAAAATTTCACAATGGATTAAATACATACTAAAATCACACAAAATGTCAATAAAATATTCTCTGGATTCTAGTATCTTACTCATAACAGTAGAAATGTTTGTATTTTGACTCATGGGAAATTTCTGTCTGTATTTGACATATTAGATGACAAGTGGGTTAGTCATATTTAATTTAATGATGAGATCAGAGCAATTTTTAGATTGAATTCTCAAGACGATTTTCTGCCTGCAGTACTACTTAAAAATGGATCAATCTATTAAAAGGTTTTAGTAAGATTTTTTGAATAATAAGAAGAAATTCCAGAAAATGAGAGAGATTTTTACTTAGAGGGCAGCATTATAAGAATTCAAATTGATTAAGAAAACTTTGAGGCTGTTTATTTTACAATTCTTAAAGATGATATTCATCAACTTAAGGTTTTATGGAATGATACTATCTATGATTTTGAGGTAGTCGATCCCAAAGAAAACCTTAATGTTGTTTAATTGTAGGCAACTGTTTAAGATGCTTAAACATTGATCGTTGTTTAGAATGGATTTTCTTTTATAGTATACGAATAAATTTACCCAGAGGGAAAGCTTTCCTGGAATCTGATTTATAAATACAGAGAATTCCCTGAAGTGACAGGAATTCTTTTCACAGGAAATGCATACAAAATAAGTGAAGATTTCTTTTCATTCGACAATAAAAATCTCTATGTTTTTAAAAGAGGAAGTCCTGATGAAATAAAGGTGTACAAAAATATTTATTGCACAGGTCATATCGGCATTAACAGTTTGTTCAACTATGTTACTTGCTAATAGACCTCTGATTCAGAGTGTCAAGGTCTAAGATTCTTTAATAGAGAAAGACTAGTAAAGGAGGACAAACTAGATATGATTCTAATTAAGTAAATAGATATAGGAGCACTGGGTACACTTGAAATCAATTATAATTCATCTAGAATTGGTTTAATGAAATCTGTTACAGATGTTATTGTAATTCCTGTCTTGAATTTTCTGCCAATCAGATTCATAGGATCTAAAGAATCAAGTGAATACACTCTATTCAAGTAATTAGAGGATAAGTAAATAGGTCTTTAAAAAGATGGCTTGCTTGTTTCATGGAATACTGTTAATGGAAAACCATTTAGAGAAATTCTTCTAGAAAACCACAACTATACTGACTACGAATGAGTTGGAGAAAGATATTCTACATGTCTTTTGATGAAAAATGAGCCAATAATTGACAAACTTAAGGAATCATTCTTCTCACCAGAATAAATATAAACCAGCACTAAGAATTAGATACCTTTTATACTAACATAAGATATAACTATTAGAAATTATAAATACATCGAGATTATAAGCACAGAGGAAGTAATTGTCCATTTAGATTTTGACTTTCCAGCATATAAGGACTAACAGATTTATATAAATGAGAATTGTTCAAGATTGATTCAATACATTGGCAAGCACTCTGGCTATATCTATCAGTCTAAATCAGCAGAATAGTCCTACTCAAACAGGGTTTAATGGATATTAATAAAACAACTAATTGATTACCCTCATGAGGAAATTTTCATAAATTTCATGTTTAATCCAAGCTTCTCCTGATACATTGCATTAGACCAAACCAAATCTTCCTTTTTGATCAAGGATACTTACACAGATTAAACTTTATTTGAAGTTCCTAATGATATAATGAAAATTGACCTTCCTAACCAAAGCATCTGTACAGTCTTAAACAGAATGAAGTTTATTGATGATGAAACTTTCTAAATAGTTAGTGAAGATGGTATTGAAAAAATAATTCATATTGATGATGGATTCAAAGAACTTGAATTCAATTACAGACCACTATTTACCACATCGCCATCTGAAGAATATATGGAATTTCATTACTACACGGAAAGAGAATTTGTGACTGCCTATGATTCAACTACTTGGCTTAAAAGGAAATATCAGCAGTATAAGACCTCTTATTATCTTAAGAATAAAAGAACGAATACTTAAATGTATGGGGATTTGATAGGTTTTGATATGTCATACAGCTATATTTACACTTCTAATTCCTTCACTTATATACATTGGACTATGATAGAGCAAATTTCAAGAGGAGAATTAAAATTCAGCTAACTTGATTAAAAATGTATTGAATAGCTTCTTCTAACTATTCTTCCTGGAGGTAATACGATTCTCCATTTATTATGTGACAAAGAAGATGCATTAATTGAACTTATGCAGATTGCTCATTCTAAAGATGGTAAAATCCTATTGCATATGCCATTTATTCCAAATATTGATGGAGAGACTCCAATTCATAGATGCATTAAAAAATCAGATTTTAAGTCAATTGATGTGATGCTTAAGTATCTAAAATTGTACCCTATCGATCATCATTCGAGAGCTATCAAAGATTTATATTAAAGCTTTATTGACTAAAAACTACCTGAGTTTATACCATATCTTGACTCAAGATTACTTCAAACACAACAATTGAGGTAAATTACAAAAGGTTCTCTGATCGATGATTGCCCAGAGTTTGTAGTATCTCAACTCTGGTTCGACTAGAATACTCTTCAAGAAAAGATAATGAAGCCAAAACCCATTGAAAATAGAATCTTATGTGAAATATTGGATATGCCAGGAATTTACCATTAAAATGACAAGGATTTCTTGAAATTTTATTAATCATTAGCAAGTACAGATGAACCGGACTACTTCAACAAGAAAGCAATTCAGAAATTGATTGAATTCAACTACCCATTGGTCAAAGAATACATAATCATTAAACTTTTTGGACCATTTTGCGTATTCTAACTATGTTTTTCTATTTTCTAAAATTTAGTAATGGAAAATAAAGCGCTTTAAGGTTATTAACAAGTTTACTTTCCCTTATTGGCAGTTAACCTCATCTTTGCAGTTTACTTTATTCACAATGAGATAAGACAATTTTGTCTTCAAGGCACTAAATACTTTTAATCATATTGGAATTACATAGATATGATTCCTCCTTTAGGCATTTTTGCTTTTACAATTATAACTGTTCTTTCAGAGTATGACTATGAGATAGATGAGGCAACTAAAAGATCCATCTAAGCTATCACAACTTTCTTTATGTGGTTTAAGTTTTTATATTTCTTGAGAATATTCAGAAGTACTAGTTACTTAATAACCATGATATTTGAAGTAATTTATGATATGAGATTCTTTTTCGCTGTGCTATTGATAACTATGATTGCATTTGGTGATTCATTTTTAAGCATTTCATATGGTAACAATGAGTTGGATAGATTTACTCATAGTTTCACTGATTCAATCATTTACACTTACAGAATGATATTAGGTGATTTTGAGACTGACAAGTTTGGAGAAGTCGCAAAGCCTTTGGTAATTATACTGTTCTTGTTGTGCACAATCTTCAATATGATTGTTATGCTTAATCTTTTGATTGCTATCATATCCGAGTCTTTCGCAAGGATAACTGCAAAAGCAGACTAAGCTGTGTACCAAGAAATGGCTTCAATGATTGCAGAGAACTCTTACTTGATTCCTGCATCTAAAAAGAGATCTTATGCTGAATAAAATCAATATTTACTCATAGTTAATGATCTTGAGTAAATAGAAATAAAAATATCTGAACAAGCTATGTTAGATTAAGTTAAAAATGAGATTATGGAGGAAATTAGGATTGTCAAGGAACAAAATGAAACCATGCACAAGACTCTTCTTGAAAAAATAAATCTCATAATCAGCGAAAACAAAAAATGATTCAACAAATTATTATTTTTATAAACTTAACTTAAATCTTCAATAAAATTATGTTTATGGGGTTTTGGGGTTTTGGGGTTTTGGGGAATCTCCCTTTTGATG